TTCCAGTAATCTGTCATGTCCAGGAGGAACTGGGGGAAAAGGACAGATTTGTGGGAATATTGGAGGATTATCAAAACTAGAGTTCTGTCACTTGGATTTGGAGATCTCTCCCTACAGAATGAGTGGATCTGGAGTCTAAAAGCAGAGGCCAGAAAAGAAAGTCCCTGCTATTATACATACACACGCTAAGGCAAATAAGCCGAGGATCAAGCAACACGTGGACGATTTTGGGGATATTGAGCTGCTTAGGCTAAAACACAGTATGGGTTTGGGTGCAGTGTACAGACATGTATAGATGTATGTACATAGTGAGAATAATGCAGAGGACCCCTCCCCAAGGCTGGGAAGCAGTGTCCTTAGGTAAGGCAGCTTACTGGCCCTGCATAAAACATGGCATTAATTCTTATTCCTTTGGCCCCAGATGTCTCTAGTCATCCCTGCTTATGCTAGCAGAAGTTGTCAGTTCGGCCAAATTATAAAAACGATTTTGTGTTCTTAAATTTCGTGTGTTTATTGCTCCTTCTTTGGAATTGCTTAAATGTTTCTCTGAAAAAATATTTTTGTAAAAGAAAAAAAAGCCAGTTCTTGCTATTTTTTTTAAAAATTACATAGCTGGATTGATTTATGTTCCTTGTTAGAGTAATAACCCATCTGTTGTGGGGTTAGGTCAATTAATAAAATTATAAATCTAGGAGAGAAAAGGTCTTGACTCTTTCTCACAGTAAGCATTTATTCATGTTTCAAAGTTCTTGTTTACATTTTTGCAGAGTTGTTATTTGGTAGCAAAAAAGTAGTGTGGAGAATTGTTACTCTTGGTGTTACCCTGCCGTTGCATCTTTACTTTTTCTTTTTCTTACGCAAAGCAGTATAGACCCATGATGTTCTGTGTAAGCAGAGTTCTTCATGTACACGCTTTTGGATTTTCATGCATGTGTCTGTCATCTCTGCTGAGTACAATAGTATTGTTTTTTAAAATAGATTTTTAATAATACAAGTATTTTTGTGGGAGGCTGTCTTACAAGACCTGTTTATATGGTAATAACCTTCTTCACATTGTATCTTCCCAATGAGATTTCAAATGAAGATACAATAATGTGCATTACAAGTGTGCGATTGGTTGTATCATTATGAAATAGATGAAAAATTAGTTCGTTGCAGTAGGTTTTACCTTAACTGATCAAAACATCTTCCGATGATTTTTCCAACAATATGTGACTGGAATAGCAACTTAACATGTTGTAGAGTTCCATGCTGCAGCTGAGAGGCATGTAAATACAAGCTGCTTATTTGCAAGAAGCTTCCAGATTTGCAATATGATTGCTATGGAAACCACACAATGAAAACCTTATAACCATCTGTGTGGTTTGGTAGATGTTGCTGCATAGCTGAGCTGTTTTTGTTTACTGTTATTAAAGTATTGACTGGAATATATTAACCCACAAACTGCGGTCATCCAGGGTATAAACTGGTATTGTGCAATGACAGTGTCTGTGTCAGAGACTAGAAGACAGTAAAATACCAATTAATAATGGCATTAAATTAGATTCTAATACAAAAAGATGATAAAGTAATGTGTTAGTAGAGGAAACTGCTAAGTTTATGCGTATTTATCATGGAGATACCACATTCCATTGAAGGAATTCACTGTTCAAGCCAAGCTCTGATCCATTTTATACTCAAGTAGTCTGATTTTTTTTTTTCCCCTCCCCCTTTAAGAGAAAGAAACTGGAAGTAAAAAAAAAATCAATGGATTAATGTAAAAAACTCAGCTAGTGTAGAATTCATTGTTCACTTTTTAGATTACGTGGATAGTAGAACCATCTATGATTGGATCATCATTTTTCTGTTTTTCTTCAGACTGCAAATTAAATAAGTAAATTGCTTTCAACAGCTTTCATGGACTAACTGAAAAAACCCTGAACAAACATAGTTAGTTCTTTGTTGCATTGTCACCACAAGAATTTTGTAGGTCGTTTGCCATTAGGGTCTCTAAGTACCAGCAGCGTATGGAACTTAACCTATATCTCAACAGTTCTTTGAATCTACAGCTCTGGAAGAGTTCACTGGTTTAATTAGTGTTGATTAGTCTCATTTTGACAGAGTGAGGAGGTGGAGAAGAGTATTTTCTCACTGCAGTGGTAGTGATGGTGTGAAGAAGAGATACAGAGGAATCATTGTGCCAGATTATTTTAAAGGTCTGCATGACTCCTCTTACACAGTATTTTAATAATAAAGAAGGATCTCTACTGTATTTTTTAAAGTTTTTTATCTTTTGACTCTGTTCCATGATGCAACACACATTTTAGTATGTCGCATCTGACTACAGCCGTAATTCCTGGGGTAACTGAGGTTGCTGTGTTTAAAGGACATCTCCTGCACATAGTTATTGCTTCGGGACATATTACCAGAAAACACTAGTAACAACCATAGGTTCTTTTTTACTGTCCTAAGCCAAGCTTATTACTTCAACTCCACTGTGACCATGATTGCATTAGCAAGTAGTATGGACCATTTGCAACAGATTCATAAAGGACAAGTTTGTACCACGGACCTGATATTTGTACTGTGCATATTTCAGAAAAGTTTTCCCATGGAGTCACTTTAGTCTGGTTCCATGAACCAAATGCCTGTTAGCAACTGGACCATGTTCAGTGTGCTTCTGGAGTGCCTCTTCCAGTCTAATTGCACCTGAAAGTTTGTCCTCTTTGCTTTACACTACAGAGTTGTCACAAAGTGTGATAACTAGGGATGGTTGGGATCCAAACCGGTACGCTAATATGGACAGCCTTTGTTTGAATTTGGGACCTTTTCTGTGTTCAAAGAACCTTGGTTCAGACATTTTCTCATGTTCAAATACAGATCTGGTGAACTCTTGTTTCTAGGAAATATGTTTTTCAGGAAGGGGAATGCATATGTCCTAAAGGTTTCCATGAAATTGCAATGTAATCTACATGTAGTCAACTGTATCTTACGAAAACGTCTCTTCAAACCTCCTCTGCAGTTTTATTTCAGTTGAAATACCCTCTACTAAAGCCAGTCCTTGGTTTAAGCTAGTCTGAGCATGACAGCGATAGAGTTAAAATCTACAGTACATTGACATCAATTGATGTAGCTCCAAACATTCAGTAACATAGTATTTTTTTAATCAACATATAATATTCTGTGTGTTGAATGTTCTGGGAAAAGGGAGCGTCCTGGAAAACGTGTTTGACAATGGGATAATACCTGTGACTGGTGCAATGGTGGTAGGGAAGCCACAGCATGGCAGTGCCTCCTAGTGCTCCGCACCGTGCATAGGAGGGATGTATTTTTGCTAATTATGTTCCAGTTGCGAGTGCTTAAAAAAACCCAAACGACTGTACTTGGAAATGTGCCACAAGGGTTATGCCAAGTGGGGGAAATACATTTGAATGCAGTAAATAATTGGGAGTGTTTTGTGTTGTACCACAGCTTCAGATGTTCCCTGGTGGGTTTGTGTGGGATTTTTTTTTTTCTCCTCCTTGGCTCAAATAATAGTTTATACTCATTTCAACCAGATTTTTAGCTAGTCAAGAGTCAGGCAGCAAAAAACTCTTGCTGGCTTAGTAGGGCAGAAGTTCAAAGCTCTTTGTAGAGTGAACATCATGATGTAATTGTAATATTTGTAGGACTGCGTATATAGGTTAGCAGCAATTATGCATACTCATTTCAACAGGTCTACTCTTGTGCTTTAAACATCTGCTTTAATGTTTGCAGGAACAGTCTTGTGGAGAGATTAAATTTTTACAAGGCTAAAAATCCTTTGAACTCTAGATATAAAATTTACTCTTTGTCAATGTAGATAGGCAATTACATAAAAGTTGCACAATGAGGAACATTTTAAAAGCTCTGAGTTCTGTATCTGTTGTCTGTCATTAACAAAATATCAAAATTAGTTGCTGAAATGTGTGCCTTAAAAAGAAGCATGAATATCTGCATAAGATGTGATGAGCAGCAAAGCCAAATAGTTTAAATATATTAAAAGTCCAAGTCTTGTTTGAGAAGTGGGTTTATCAATACACTATTTCCTCATTCAGTACAGCAGCTTTGTCAGTTTTGATATACTGTAAAGACCAAGATAAATCTGTTTCTACTTCCTTATGAACCCAAAGAAAGAATACAGCTAAAACCTCATCGTTTGTTCCCTTTTTTGCCTCATCAACAGAACTGTTGACTGTGAAATGTGAGGAGCAGATCTTATGTCCCTGTACTGAGTGGAGAATGGATTCACTTAAGTAAGGGTGTGGGCATGAGAGAGTTCCCTGTCTGTGCTGGACAAGGAGTATGGAGCACATCTTTTGAAATTGCCTGTGGGGATTTTGGAGTGTTCCAAGCCTGCTAGCCAGAAAACATGCTTCAGAGCTGATCACTGCCAGGCTTTCTCTTTTCTTCTCTCCTAAACTTGCACTAAGTTATTTGATACAGTCTGGCTTGGTTAAAACCATGGTCAGGCACAGGAGGCAGGAGCACCAAATGCATGGCATCTGTAGTGGTTATATTCCCATCATGCAGGTGTCCAGCTAATGTGTGTCCCTGACAGTGTTGAAGGTAAGATGTCCTCTGCCTTCTCTGCATACTTCTCTTGAAAACTTATGATTAGGCTGGGGATACTTTTTCAATCCTCAGTTTCCTTTTCTTTGTCCTGGCAAGTAATGTATGTAGCAGAATAGGACCCTCATTCTAATTGTCTCAGACTGACTGAAAAACAGCAGAACTGCAGCTCTACATTACCACATTCAGAGCAGAGTGAAAAGGGAAACAGATGTTCACAATTGAAATTTTGAAAGAAAGCTCTTGGAGTGTTTGGATGGGTGGGGGAAACCACAGAAATAACAATGTTCCAACTTCTGTATGAATGTGAAATAGTAAACAAGGCTTACTATCTGAAAATGTAGAGTGTGGCTTTTAGACTGATGTGGGCTGTAATTCCTGTCAGCTGAGGTGTCCCTTCAGAGTTTCATTTGCACTTATGTGTTTTGCAGAAGAACGTGCTCCTTCAAAGCTTGAAGTGCCAAGAAAACCACGTGAGGAGAAAGTTACCACTGTTTCAGGTAATTAAAATATTTCCTCTTTATATTGTGTATGCACTTTCTTTTTACCTTATTTTCTTGTCTCTACCCTTTGCTGGTTTAAAATAATGTTTTTATAGCTCTGTAAAGCTGTCTTTTACACCTGGGTGTTTGATGGCAGCAAAACTGCTTAGCACCACTTAGGATGCATGAAAACCACTTGAGAAGGATTTATAAAGTAAGCCAATTTATACAAGGTATTCCTTCCTGAATTACTTTGTAATGACTCAATTAGCTTTCATTTCTGCACAAAGGAGATTTAGTTGCATAAATTAGCTTATCATCATTGAGGAAGTGTCACTGCTAAAGGACAGTTTATAGATACAACATGCAGTTGCTGTCAAACCTATAAGAATGTAATATAGACATCTGTGTATACTTTGTGCTTGAGCAGAACAGACTTCTGCCATTCAGAGACTAACAGGGGACAACAAGTTGCCCAAGGGACTGGCAATGTAGACGTCTCTGAAAAGGTCAACTTGACACAGGCTCTGACAATCGACCCAAAGCTCTGTCTTCTTTGATAAAAATCAGATAAACTTAAGACCACTAATTGATCTGCAGCCTGTTTAAATGTTGGCCATGCATATCTTCATTGCATATGATTACCACAGAAAGCAAATGAATTGGGTAAGAAATGCCAGAGTCCAGTGACAGCAGCATAAAAATTGGAAAAGGACACAAATGCCCAGAAAGGCTGTGAAGGATATTCTCTCAGCCTTAGCTTGGCAAAGTGCCCTTGTGCTAATTATCTCTGGGACTGGAAAAAGAACTGCAAACACCATGTAAAATCACATGGCCAGACAACTTTTCTTGGCAGAAAGGTATTTCCAGTTATGCTTAAAAACAAGATATATATGTGCTTCAAGGGTGCAGACCTTTAGATAAACTGTTGGTGATTTGACACAGCAAGTAGAGAACACTTGCTTCTTATCAGACCTTACACCTTTTTGAGATCCGCTGCATTGTAACCGTGACCTGCACTGACATGCAATCTGCTGCTCCTTCCCCTGTCGTACATAATACACATAATTCTTTCAGGGCTGTCAAGGAAAGGGTGGGCAAGAAGAGTTCCTTTAGGAAGTAGCTCTGCAGTGCTCTTCCTGTTGCAACATGTGGAGAGGAAACAGAGGCCTGATTTCCTGACCCGTACAGGAAAGCAGGAACAGGTTGCTATGAGGAGTTTTGGATTGCTTTTCTTGGAAAGGAAACAAGAACCAAGTCATCAGATGCTGTTAGCATTGTGCTTTGCTGAAAACATGTGTAAAACAACATGACTCATTACAGCCTTAGTACTTGATACTCATTTAGACATTAATTATAAGAGTGTGTTGTCATAATGGAGCGCTGTAATTATAAGAGTGTGTTGTCATAATGGAGCGTGGGGTCAATCCAATTATAAAGTTGCCAACAGCTTTTTTTTTTTTTCCCCCTCCCACTAATGTATCTTCTTGAAGTTCTAAATGGTCATACTTTTAAGAAATCAGAAACTTAGCACTTTTGTTTCGGAAAAGTTTCAACCGCTATGAAAACAGCCTTATCAGTCTTACTAGTATTTGTGTAATGTCCTTGAAAATACTCAGTTCTCCCCAGATACCAGATTCATTTAAAGCAATAATTTTATGATCTGATCTGATCTTCCTTAGTTAACTATTTAACACTGGCAATTTGCTTGATTTTTAGGGCTGAGTTGACATGAGTATTTCTAGAAGATAGGTATCACATCATAAATATCTAACCTGACTCAATATTATGTCATGATTTTCCACACAAACAGCGCATAGATTCTTAAATTTAATTTACTGCCTAGCTTTATCACACCTGAATTTCACAGAAAATATCCTGCAAGTTGTCTGTGAGCTCAACCTGAAAAGTGCGAAAAGACTTTCTTTTTTTTTTTTTTTGTACTCTTTGCTTGCCCTAATTTATCTCTATTTCAATTACTGTGCAGACTTGAGTTCTTTTTATTCCCTCAATCTTGATACTGACTGTGTAAGACAGAGTCATTCTGGTAGTGTTAATTTTGAACTTCACCTGTCTGTCCATCTTTAAGCCTTTGGCATGGTAAATATTGAGCACATCATTACCAAAAGGAATACAGTAATTTTCCAGAAGTTCACCTCTTTCAAATATTGTTTAGTGACCCAGATTAGTAATCTTCAAATCTGATGCTATAAGCTTTTGAAGAATCTGATCAAGAGTCAAGGAATATGAATCTGAATGGCAAGCTGTTCAACATACTGGGCAGTGGACCACAGTGGTGAAAGGAAAATATACACGTGTGTTTCTTCATCCCACAAGCAATGTGTAAGCAGATAATATAACTACTAGCTCTAAGTCACTACTGTAGTAGGGTTAGCTAACTTAGATGCCATCGATGTTAAAATGGAAGGTCAGTGGAAATCAGGCACAGTCACATTTATTCTAATGTTACATACATAATGCACATTTATTCTAAGTAGTGTGTTTCCATACTTGGGCTGTAACTCCTGGTTTTGTTTTGGTCAGTTTAGTTTTCTGCCAAGTTTGTGCTCAGAAATAGCAAGTGCCAAAATTGGCGCAAGGGAGGGGGCAGAAACGGAAGAGCCTGCGGTTAGATTGGCTTAGGCTGCAATGGGACAGCACACTTAAATCCCTCTGAAATATGTACTCTTAGTCTGTTTTTCCAAGTTTTGTTTTTTCTGTCTACGGAGACTGTTAAAATATTTTATAATTTTTTTTCCGCCTTGAGTAATCCATGGGCATTCTTAAGTTTTAAACAGTCTACAATATTTGAAGTGCATGTTTGAGTGATATACTTGTCAGATTTTTTTACCTGAACTGTTACACCTTTCTTCAAGCATGTACTGTCAGGTGTCAGTATTTTTCAGTGAAATAAGCAGCCTGAGCCTACCATCAGGAAGGCTGGCAGCCGTTGCTGTTTGATCTGTCAAATAAATTCTGAAGTGTTTTCATCAATATATTGGACAAAAATATCTGTTGTTCCTGTTACTATTACTGGAAAAAGAGAGATAGCAGAAGAAAACTGGGAGGAATTCTTTGTAGAAGAGTTTTGGAAACTGTTGCATAGTTGTTCTTCCAGATAGCTGTCTTGGAATGAAAGAAGTACTTCCTGGAGAAACAACCTATCCAAAATCCTGCCCAGCCATTTCTTGTGATTGGTAATATTAAAAGCAATGGGTAGGAAAACCCAACTGCTTTCTACCCTCTGCTACACATTTAATTTTTTTTTTATCATGCCTTATTCATATTTGTGGCCTAAGTGACCATGCTTTCGAAATACGACAGAACAGACTTTAGTTTAGCAATTATGTCATCGTAGTATTTTTAAGGCACACAACATTTCACAGTGTGTAAGAATAGAGTGTAATTGTGACAAAGTAACACCAGCAAATCAATACCTTTTGAATTTGAACTCTAATGAGCACGTAAGTTCTTGATGCTAAATCCACCAGCTGTTTTCAGATAATTACAGGTGTTTTAGAAGCTCCGCATAATTTCATTACCAAATACCAAATTCCTTTACCCAGGTCTCTTGGTTTTATTTTACTCAGTTCTTCAGAGGCAATCAGATGAAATTTGGCAGGGTCCTCTCCAACTGAAAGAGAGGCTGAAGTAAGAAAGAATGGGCTTGTTTACATAGTTTTTTGCAGCTTTTTTCTGGTTCTACCTCTGTGTTTGCGAAGCACAGTGAATAATTTTATGAAGCATTTTGCCCATTAGAGGTATAGAGTCTGAAATTAAATTAACAATTGCCTTTTATGCCGGTGTAGTTGCACCTACAGAATCATAGAATCATAGAATCATAGAATGGTTAGGGCTGGAAGGGACCTTCAAAGGTCATCTAGTCCAACCCCCCTGCAAGGAACAGGGATATCTCCAACTAGATCAGGTTGCTCAGGGCCTCGTCCAACCTGGCCTTGAACGTCTCCAGGGATGGAGCATCCACCACCTCTCTGGGCAACCTGTTCCAGTGTTCTGCAACTCTCATGGTAAAAAATTTTTTCCTAATATCCAATCTGAATCTACCTCCCTCTATTTTAAAACCATTACCCCTTGTCCTATCACAACAGGCCCTCCTGAACAGCCTCTCTCCATCTTTCCTGTAGGCCCCCTTGAGGTACTGGAAGAATTTTTAGCAACTTGTGCTGGTGGATATGAGAGGGGATTTCGAATTTGAAATTAACACTTGTGGGAAGACCAGCATATTGTTCACAAACTTATACTGGCACTTTCTCTCCCTATTTCTGTGTTCCTGGTATACCGGTATATGTTTTTCCGAGAAATGTGGCTTTCTGATTTAAACAACTCTGTCTTATGTTGAATTCACATATGAGGGCACAGAGCCATGGTTAGTCTTTGGGCAACATCTTCATTGTAGCAATAAGCTTATTTTAAAATGCATCTTTTCCAGTGTTGCCCTGTTATTAGTTGAGTTGCTTTCCCACTTTAAGGCTTAATTAACTGCTCATGATGAACATCAAGGGAGAGATGTGTCTCACCAGCTGTGGGATCTCTTCCGTTGCTGATATTCCCCATGTAACTCCCATTAGTGAAGTAACAGGAGTTACTTCAGGCACATAAAGGTAAGGACAGAGCTCAAAGTGATAAAGATCAGTGTGAAAAGTCATGATTCATTTCAGTGCAATTCTGAAGAAGTAAAAATCCTGATTAATGTATTTTAAACCAAATCAATAAGACAAGTGCTGAAAGATTTGAAAGGTGGGATATACTGAAATAGCTCTTTTCATTTTTTTCCCATGTGGGCTTACATTATCTTTTGAGAGAGAGACCTGGGAACTGTGATCAGTGCGGTATCAAAATGCTGAGGAGAGATTCTGATTTAATATTTGTCATAAATTAATTGTGTGCTAACCTACATTACTGTTTACAATTGTTTAATGCTAAATTGGGGAATAATGAGCTGACAAATGAAAAAGGCCAGAATTTGGAGGTGCAACATTTGAAATGGATTCCGTCTTCCTCTTGAAATTATTCTGTCTACGCATCTTACCATAACCAAATCTCTTATTTCTAAACGGTTGGGAGTTTTTATATATGTATCTATTGCTGCTTTTGGTGTGCTGACAGAAGAATTTGTGCACTGGCGGTCAGAACACCTCCCTAGTGCTATGTTGCCAGTGGTAGCTACTAATCATCAGTTTATGGAAAATTAAGTGGTGGCTAACTTTCACAGCAGCTTTAAATTCAAGGTTGTGAATATTTGGCCTTGTGACAGTATTGCCACCAAAACAAGATAACACAGAAGACAGACTGAAGTGGGTAAACAGAAAACAAGCTCTTGTTACTCAAACAGAAAGTATTAAAATTAAAATCTAAGTATTTGTCAAAATAGGGAAAAACACAAGTTGAATACTGCTATTTTTTTGTATAGCGTGACACTTTCTCTTGCTTGATACTTGATATTTTAGCGAGATTTTTTCAATAATAAAGTGAACCAATCATGATTAAATTGTAAACTGTAAATAACGGTGTAGAGCGCTAACGACGTGCAAATGTAACTGGTATATGTTGGAATAACCAGCAAGCCTGCTGTTCAAGGATCATATAACAAAACTAAGATGACAGCCTTGATCCAGCCAGTTCAGTGATATTTATGTTATCAGAATTAGAAGATAGCTTTCCAGTGATGTAAATTATTAGTACATATACATTCTGTCTGGTTAGTGTATACATAATGTAACTGGTCATCTTAGTGGTATTGCTTACATTCTTTTTGCATTAACTCATCACACTCCATTCTCATGGAATTAAAAACAGGAAATAGTTTGCAGTGTAACAGAAGCACCCAGTGTATTTAACCGTGTGTAAGCGCTGTGTTTCAATAGCTGTACTCTGTATTGTAAGTGTATGACAAAGCATTTATTACTGTGTTATTGCCGTATTACAGAGCAAAGAGTGCTAAATAATCAATCAGTTAATGGTCTGTATGGCAGCTTGAACACAGCACATCCATTGTGCTTATGCTGTTAGAAGGATGAGTTTATGACTGTAGTGTAGTTGCATGTTTAGTCAGAACTTAATGTCCTAAACTGGAGCTGACACAAATATTTTTAAAATGCAGCTTCAGCAGCAGTTTCCAAGTTCTCCAATATTTCAGGAGGAACCATCAAGGATTGTCTCAAAGGTTCTCAGGGAAGTTATTTAGTTTTGTTGGAACAGAAGAGGGAGGGGGCACATATCACAAAATACCTTCTTTGGTTTCCTTTCACAGATTATTATATAAATTATATTCTAGCAATTTTTGTCAGTTTCAAGTTCAGATACTAATATGGCTTGCTGGAAGTATATTGGTAGAGGAAAACTAACTGCTATAAGTTGCAGCTCGGAAATGCTTTGAAAACCTGTAGCTACATGTCTTTAAGTGATACAACTTGCTAGTGAAGAGCTCGCACATTAAACTTTTTTCCCACTTGCTTTTGTGTTATGAAGGAGCTGTTTCTAAAAAGAGGATTAAGAAATCTGTGCTAATAAATTGCTTTTTAGTATCTGGAGATTTGAAGAGTAACTTTAATTCCTCAGTCTTTATCTTTTTGTCATTAGATGCCATTTTCTTTTCAGATAATGAAAATACCGATTATGCCAATTTCTATCAAGGTTTGTGGGACTGCACAGGAGATGAACCTGATGAGTTGACATTTAAACGTGGTGACGTTATCTACATTCTCAGCAAGGTATGGGATGCCACTGGGGCTACATAGTTGTAAAAAGAGAGCTATGGCGGAAGGGCACATTCCCACAGTTCTGTTGGGGGAAATTGGCACTCCCTTTCAGATCCTTTGTTTGCAATCAGATAGTCGCTGCAATTAATTATTTTGTCAAATGAACTATAATCACATTTAAAACATAGCTGTGTGACAGGAATTAACTTAAAAGCATGTTTATTTACTTGTTAAATCTTGGCTACCATTTGTTAACTGATTTAACGAGAGACAATGTGCTTTCTGCTTGTAAAAGTTAACCTTGTAGAGTTTTAAGTTATCTTGTATGTTATGTTTTTTATTTCCTGTTTTATAGTCTTGAGTGTGCTGATTCTGACTTTTTTGGGTATCTTGCTACAGAAGATGGTTTGTTTTTTTGAACTGTGCTTTCATCTTTGTATGTATATTGTAATTGTTCTGACAGCTCAGATTCCAAATTTGTTTACTCTGATAGATTTCGGAAATTTTTAATTTACTGCTTTCCTGTTTGCAAAGCAAATGAGAAATATAATTCCTCTCGTCTAAAGTGATGATAAGCAGTATAAGCATGAAATTTTATTCTACTTTCATGTTGGTTAATTTTCTGATTTTTCCTTAACTCCTCTCTAAAAACCAAAACCTCTCTAAAATACGTATCTTATGATCCCTTGAAGTCTACTTCTGAACAATTCATCAAAGGAAATTTCTCTTTGCCCCAGATACTAGAAAAAAGCTGAGCTTTTCAAGTTCTCATTGAAAAAAAACCCTTTTAAAATATATGTAGAGTATGTATCTCAGTTGTAATTGCTGGTCAGTATAATTAATACGAAAGATATTGTAGGTCATTGAAATATACAAGCAGGCACATGAAAGCTAAAGGCATCTGTTTGTCTTAGTTTCAAACTCTTCAGTTTTGTCACAATCGCTTTAAATCTTCTCTGATACCTTTAGCTGCAATGTTTCCGGATAATAAATGTAATAGCTTCTATTTAAATAAATTTAAGATTTATGGATAGAAAGATAGTCCTATATAAAAATATAGAAGATATATCACTAGTGGTAATGTGACCACGTATGTCTTTTGAGGTATTTCATTGTCACTTAAACTAATAACTGAATTGCATTACTAAAGGACAGATAACACTCTCGGATTGGGCAGACTTTCAAGCAGTTATACAGCACTGAAGAATGGTACTAATTTGAAATAACCACCTCTTCCCCCTCTCTCACCCCGCAAAAGCCCATGAACAATCGGATTGCATTGTACAAGTTTGGCCTCTTTTTGGGTTGTGCTCTTCTGGTACGGTATGAGGACTAATAAAATCTTAATCTTCAGCTTGTAGGTGAAAAAATAATTTGCTACTCTT